AAAGAAAAAATCATAGGCCTAATTAAAGTTTGTCTGAGAGTGCCATTTCCGGCCATTTTGAGGTGCCATAATCATAAATTTTCTTACTTAAGCCCCAACCATGGTGGGGCTGAGGTAGTATTGACCATCTGTCGGTGCAAGTTCCTCCCTTCACCCCCACCCTCTTTTTTTCCTGCTTTACTGTAGGTAAAAATTACAAATTATGGATTTTAGAAATCCATTAAAAAGGGCCCTTAAAATGCTAATTTGTCAGAGCTTCCAGAAGATTCGCCCCACCCTCGCAGGGATCCCTAGGCAGTCGCCCATCGTGATTAACATTACAGATAAATTGTATACATAAAAATACACAGTAAATATCCCACCGAAACCTAAAAAAATGCAGTTTCTATGCCCCTATTTTTCAGTTTGGAATTTCCTTTAGCCTAGGCTAACTCACTAATAACAAGAACATCGGCATAGATTCCAACTGTCCTGCTTTCGGCGGGATTGTCCCGCATTTCGGAGTCGTGTCCCGCTGTCCCGCCCAAACCCCGAATTATCCCGCTTTTCAACTTTCATAAATAAAAAAATAATCACGATAATACCAAGACTAAACTCCAGGAGGTTACTCTAAAATGTATGGCCCTCTCAGGCGACGAGCCGTGTTAATATAGTTATTAATCGATACGAAAGAGATGTTTATCAGTTTAAAATATAATATAATATAATATAATATATATATATATATATATATATATATATAGTAAGTATATATATAGGATATATATAACGTTTTTATATTATTTACTGTGTATTTTCATGTATACAATTTATCTGTAATGTTAATCACGGTGTGTCCCGCTTTTGAACAAAAAATCCTGCTTTAAGAATCAATGTGTCCCGCTTTTGGACGTTGAGGTTGGAATATCTGACAGCGGTCCCCGGTTCTGCGAAATTCCTAGGCAATTAGGTGGTATATGCCAGGTTCTCGAAAATTTTCGTTAGAAATTTAGCGAAAATGGTGTCAGTTATTAATTTTACACAAAAAATAAACGCTTCCCTTCAAACACCTCCTTCGAATAAACCCTTCTCTAGAATCGCATAGAGTGTTTATTGTTACAGCCAGGCCCGTAGGCAGGATTTTCGATGGGGAGGTGCGTTTTACAACCGAAGTGGACCTTACGATGGGCGACTGCCTAGGGATCCCTGCGAGAGTGGGGCGAATCTTCTGGAAGCTCTGACAAATTAGCATTTTAAGGGCCCTTTTTAATGGATTTCTAAAATCCATATTTGTAATATCCTATTTAAATTTTCATTCATTTCAGTGTTGTCTAGGGACCTACAGTAAAGCAGGAAAAATAGAGGGTGGGGGTGAAGGGAGGAACTTGCAACGACAGGTGGTCAATACCACCTCAGCCCCACCATGGTTGGGGCTTAGGTAAGACAATTATGATTATGGCACCTCAAAATGGCCGGAAATGGCATTCTCAGACAAACTTTAATTAGGCCTATGATTTTTCTTTTTTCTCCATTTCTTTTATAATTTTAGGGGTTCTCCCCCCCCCCCTTTGAATCCACCACTGTGGAAGTGTAATTTTTCATGATCTTTACATCTGTAGGCCTAAAGATGATATGGATCAATCTGCAATCACTGGAGCTGATCATTTCCAACAGATTTCGTAGCACATATTAAAAACTCAACGGGTAGAAGAGCGGGCAAAAAAATGTTATGCATATTATAGCATTTCGTGATAATTTTGGGAACGATTTTAGTGAAATAACAGGTTTTAAAAATTGGACTTTTTGAAATGTGGTGGTCTAGGGGCAGAGGCCTGGAGGGGGTTTGTGAGAAAATCGACAAAATAGCATTTTGAGGGTCTTTACATAATAGATTTCTCAAACACATAATTCATGAATATTTCAATTAAATTTTCATTAATTTGGGTGTTTTTGGGACCTGAAAAAGTAACGTTATTATGTCCTGTACACCTGAAGGCCTATAGATAACATTATTCATATTATATGGACAATCACCGGAGACGATCAATTTCTAACAAATTTCATACCAAAAATCAAAAGTTAGATAATACGCAAATATATAATGCAATGCATGCTATAGCATTTTGTGATAATTGGGAACGATTTTGTGAAATCATAGGTTTTAAAAAGTAGACCTTTTGGAATTTGGAAGGGGAGGGTGCGTCCGCAGCCTCTGCACCCATCCTCCCCCCCCCCTGCCTACGGACCTGAATACATTATATTATAGGTCTATGTAGGCCCTAAAGCCTAGGCTAGGCCTGGCCTAGTTAATAATACAGGAACTTGTACCGCGCCTTTTGCCAAGGGATATATACAAGGCGCAATCAAAATAAATTTTAAAAAAAATGATAACCAATTGGGGATCAACAAAGACAATAGAAATGACAAAAAGCAGAAAATTTAGACAGTTAAGTGAGATTTATTTAAGAAAACAATGTTTCTTGAGAAGCCGACGAAGTCGAGGCATTTAGGTATATATCTAGACTTATGCCTTGTTTTTTTGACAAGCCCGGGCACATGTACCTACTACTAGCCTTCTCCATAGCCCACCGTTTATTATTTCAAACACTTAATTTTTGTATTAATTGCAACGCTTATACGCACACCCCCCCCCCTTTCAAAATTGTCACTAAGGAGTGCCCAAGTGACCTCAAAATTTCATCCATTTTACTTGTTGACACCGTCCAAAAAAGCTGTGAAACTTTAATTCAAAATAGAGGGCGTCCACTTGAGTTGCACTGCCATTGGAGTTTTGCATTGCCAACAATGTTTTGCACTGTGACTCTCAGTTTTGCACTGTGACTCTCAATTTTGCACTGTGACTCTCAGTTCTGCACTGTGACTCTCACTTTTGCACTGTGACTCTCAGTTTTGCACTGTGACTCTCAGTTTTGCACTGTGACTCTCAGTTTTGCACTGTGACGCTCAGTTTTGCACTGTGACTCTCAGTTTTGCACTGTGACTCTGTGTTTTGCACTGCTGACTCTCAGTTTTGCGCTGCTGACTCTCAGTTTTGCGCTGCTGACTCTGTGTTTTGCACTGTGACTCTCAGTTTTGCACTGTGACTCTGTGTTTAGCACCACTCAGTTTTGCACTGTGACTCTGTGTTTTGCACTTCTGTCTCTATGTTTTGCACTGGTGACTCTCAGTTTTGCACTGCTGACTCTCAGTTTTGCGCTGCTGCCAATTGTATTTTGTCCTTTTGGCGTTCCATACAAACCAGGCTGGGTTTTAATTTACGTTTTGGAATAGAATTTGGAGAGGGCGTTTGAACAAGTTAGACCTACGTTTTGAATTTGAATTACGTTTTAAAGAAATTAGAACTACATTTTGGAAAATTAGAACTACGTTTTCAAAAATTAGAACTTCATTTTGGGAAACTAGATCTACATTCTGAGAAATTTACGACTACGTTTTGATAAATCAGACATTGAATTTTGCAATTACATTTTTATTTTAACATGGACTTTTGCTGCGTATGGCACCCCATAGCTAGTGTGTATGATCTAGCTTACGTAGTGTGGTAGAAGGATTCGCAGGTATGATGGACAGGGGACTAAGAGATGGACCAGTACACCGGGGTAACCCCTACTCTTCCCGTACTGGGTTCTTTAAAGCGCACACGAGCCAATTGTGTACGCTGGACCTACGGTTTAGAGTCCTTATCCGAGAAGACTTGTTCCACCACTGGAACCATAGGCGAGTGTGTCGTTCGAACCATCGCCGATACTATGGCTGTCTGTCACTGTTCCCCTGTCTTAACCGCTCGGCCAATCGACTCGCAGATAATAATAATAATAACAACAACAACAACAACAACAACAACAACAGCAGCAGCAGCAGCAGCAGCAACAACAACAACAACAATAATAAGTAAAAACACCACAAGGCACTTTATAAAGCAAGTAATAGACTTTAATCGTGATCGCGGACTCATCAAGCCAGATCGTTAGCAAACATGTTTCGAGAAAACGATTCTCATCATCAGTGCGAAAGATAACAAATTTTGCCAAAGCTTATATGGCCTTATACACATGTATGCACAGGGGTGGATCCAGAAATGTCCAAAAGGGGGAGCCGGAAGGGGGGGCCGAAAGTTGGGCTGATTGAGACAACACTGTCGTAGGGGGTCCGGGGCATGCCCCCGCGAAATTTTTGTGTTCTAGACGCCCGAACATAACATTTGAGGCATTCTGGGCTATCATTTTTTTCTTTTTCTCTCTCTTTTTCTTTTTTTCTTTTTCTTTTTTCTTTCCCCTCCACCCCTAAATCCGCCCCTGATGTAAATAAGCAGATTAGCAAATAGAAAAACGACTAATGAAGCAAACCACAAAACGTAGCCAACTACCCGTCACTGCGAATTGTTATGTAAATTAGTACATAAGAATCAAACAGCGAGCGTGATATTCAAGTCGTAAATTTGCTTATTAAGGGATGGATTGTTCCAGGTAATATGCAAAGCTTCCTTAATTTTGAGTTTATAAGCTGAATCTGCAGAGTCAAGAACAGTGAAAAATCTCTCATTAGCAAGATCCCGACAGCGTTCTTCAGATGTTGAAAAATATGAGAATTCCCGTCCCTGAAAAGTTCTTGAACTCGTGTTGAAAGTCTTCTATTGGTTTCTCCAATAAACGTGGAATTACATCCCACACAAGTAAATTTGTATACAACACGAGCACGGAACACCTCGGGAACGGGGTCCTTCACTTCTAGAAAATTAGAAATTTTGAAAGATTATTATTATTATTATTATTATTATTATTATTATTATTATTATTATTATTATTATTATTATTATTATTATTATTATTGTTATTGTTATTGTTATTGTTATTGTTATTATTATTATTATTATTATTATTATTATTCGACGATAGCCGAGTTTGAATCGGGCTTTAAGCCAAAAAGCAGGATATTTATCTCTCGGGGTACGTGGAACCTGAGTCAACTATATAAATATATATATACTATTTAACTTCTTGTTTCGGTGGTAATGCTGTAAGGCGTTCAATGTTAAAGAAGAAGAATCATCAAGAGAGACAAATCCTGGATTGTCAGAATTTATAAGCCAGAATCAGAAATTTCGACAACAATGTAGTCCTTCCTCAGTGTATAATATGGCGGGGGATAGATCAGCATATCTGTGTGTTATACATCATTATAATTTAGTCAATAATTTAATCATATAAAGGAAGTAAGTCAATCAGTAATCATGGATTCATTTACACTTGCAGATTCTACTTCCTTACCTCTTATTGTTGGTCTTTCGGTGCTTGGCGTGTTTATTCTCACCATTTCTATTGTTCTCATCTATTGTGGATGTAGCAAGAAAAAGAAACAAGTTAAATTTCAACCAATGACGTGAGTTAAATACTTTTTTGCCTTATCATTACATAATAAAATATACTCCTGTAATTTAATGAAAGACGATATAGTATACATCCTCAGCACACCAATATTGCAGTCCATATTGATATACCTCTTAAAAATAATTTGTCAATATTCAACTTTGTACTTGATACAATTCGACTACTTCCCCATACGTGGCCAACCACAGACCTGAAAAAAATACTACCCTAAACCAAGATTGACAATGCAAAAACAACTTTGGGACTTGAAAATGTAGGGTGGTCGGGGGCTCGGTCACCACTTAGAGGGTCATATTTGTGTTGAAATACTGACGGTTATTATTTCAATCTATTAAAATGCATATCGAATTAGAGGGGTCTTGGGATTTTTCCCTCAGTCCTATAAATCTGCCTCTTTTAGACCTTTAATCAAGAAGGCTAATATGGACAAAGGTACTCTTAGCAATTACCGTCCTATATCAAATCTGCCTTTTATTTTAAAATGTATTGAAAAATGTGTTGTTTCCCAAAGTAATACTTACATAAATGAAAATAACCTTGGTGAAGTAAACCAGTCTTCATATAAACCTGCTGATAGTGCTGAAACAGCCCTTAATGAATTGAAAAATGATATTCTTTATTACATAAGGCTGATGTACTTTTACTTTTAGACCTATCAGCTGCTTTCGACACAATTGACCATTCCATTATGTTCAACTGCTTGTCTATTCAATTTGGTTTCTCTGATATTGTTCTCATTTGGTTCCCCTGTTGCTAATATCATTCGTTCCCGTAATTTGTATTTTCATATGTACGCCGACGATATCCAGCTTTTTATCTACCATTTAATCCATCCGCTTTCTGACATCATCAACAAAATCTAAAGTTGAATATCTGACTTTAAAACTTGACTCTCTCAAACATGCTTAAATTAAATCCTTCCAAAACTGAATTAATTGTTTTTATTTCACGATTTATTACCCTAAAACCAGCCTTCCCCTCTTTGATTTTCAGCTCAGTTGAAATTAAACCATCCTCATATGTTAGTAACTTAGTTTTTGTTATGGATGAAGTTCTTCTCGTTTAATCAGCGTATCTCATTTATTCTTAAAAGAAATTTAAGATGATTAATACAGTATCAGTGGTAATGACAATTAAAAATTAGTTAATTGTATAGTTGGATAAATTATTATTCTAAGTAGCTTAATGAATGAATTATATTTTAATTAATTTTATTGTGTTTCCATTTTGAATTTATTCTGTAAATTTTATATATTGAAATTCTAATATTTTAATATTGTAATATATCTTTTTTGTAATGCAACCTATTTCAGCTCTTGCTGCCAGTTTGTATTTTTATATTTTATACCGAAATAAATAAAATTTAAAAAATGATTAATACAATTTGTCAGTCTGCCCATTATTACTTGCGTAATCTTAAAAAGATTCATAAATACTTAAATGCTATATCTTCTAAAACACTTGTCCATTCCTTTATTTCTTCAAACCTTGATTACTGTAATTCTCTATTTGTTGGTTTACATTCTTTTTCTATCAACCGGTTACAGAGACTTCAATATTCTGCTGCCCGAGTGTGCTCTTTCACCAAGAGACGTTTATACATTACACCCATTATTCGAAATCTGCATTGGCTACCTCTCCGACAACGTATCAGTTTAAAGATCTTATCATTTGTTTTAAGGTGCTTCAACCTAAACAACCCTCTCATCCTTTTCACCTTCTTAATTTATATGTCCCAAACCGACGAGTCGCTCTGAAAACAAAAATCTCCTCGTCATCCCAAAATTTAAAACAAAAACATAATGGCAAAAGAACATTCGCCTATGCTGCTTCAGCGCTGTGGAACGAATTGCCACTCTCTATCAAACTGTCTCCCACTATTGATTTATATAATTTAAAACTGAAATCCCATCTCTTTAACTCTATTTAGACCATTCCCCGTTCGCATTGTAAATTTTTAAAATATTTTTCTAGTTATACTCTCAGCGCTTTTGATCATTTATTTGATTTTTTTTATTTTAAATATTTTATAATTATTGTTATTATTATTATTGTTATTATTATTATTATTATTATTTATTATTATTATTATTATTATTATTATTATTATTATTATTATTATTATTATTATTATTTATTATTAGGGTCTCAAATTAGAGGCTGCACTGTATAAAATTAGGTGAAAAGTAAATCTAAAATTTAAAATATAAGACCAATGGATTTTAAATCTAAAGTATGAGTCATTAATGTCCAGTAATTGTTAATTTTCAACACGGTTGCCCAGTTATTACATTTGAAGTGGTGTGTAGGTAAAATCAAATTTAAATGTAGAAGCTTGCATTATACCTAGTTTGGTCTATTTTACTTCGTTCATGATACAATTAAAATCTAGAAATTAACTTGCAGTAAAAAAGAATAGTTACATATTTATTAAACTGAGGAAACATTTTCGTATACCTATATTATATACATGGTACGTGGCTGAGCGATTCTTTAAATTACTTATTTATATATATTTGATAATGTGTCATTAACATTCTAGTGAAAATTTATACCATATTCTTGAAAATGTGATCCATACATTCCAATTTAAAAAAGAATGCATTTAAATAGCTGGTAATCTGTCACAGCATTTTCAAAATAAAAAAAGTTTGATAATATACGTAATCTTTTGTATCAATTAAGCGTCTCAATGCTGTATTTTAATTATGGCTAGCCTTTTTACGAATATTACTTAAATTTGCTTTTAAAGTATGTAATGCTTTGAAAATCACAATAAAAAATTAATTATTGCTTTGATATGAATAATCAAGGTAGCACATACCACCTGGACTCCATGCATTAAAAAACTTAAACATTACTTGATCTAACCTTGTGTGAATTAATTTTAACCATATTAATGGAAAAATAAATAATTAAAACTGTTTAGGCCTTCATAACTGATAATATTTGTTTTAAGTGTATGCCTAATAAACAAATTCTTAGTTTCAATTGCGTATGTCAGTATCATAGAAAATCGACATATAACAAACATATGAATAATATTACTTTTGGTTGACGTTAAATACGGGCACGCACAGTCAAAACTACAACCTCTACTTCTAATAGACTAATAGCTAGACATAATGAGCATTAAAGATGAATGCAATTTCGAAATTAAGATATAAACCAAGGTATTGTTTTGTTTATTTGCTTTAGGGAACTTCAAGAAAGTGGAAAGAGTGCGGGTAATTAAAAAGAAAACATCTACAAAACCATAACCGGTAAATAGGCTTCAGCATCAATAGCCTTTATTTTTCATTTCATGTAGGTAGTCTAATTTATAAACTTACTAATATTGCATGAGTCGATATCACTTTATTATATTAGTACTGTTGTTATGGAAAATGGGCTGTATAGTCATAAAATGAATATGAATTTGTAGATTTGTACTCATAATAATTTTATTTAACTATTGTGAGGAAACTTTTGTACAATTCGATCTTATATATGATTATGTTATTTATTAGTTATTAGTTTAATGTTTTGACATTGTTATCAACAATTTGAGAAAAAAATGATAAAATAATTGTGTAGTAACTCCACAACAGAGAAACAAATTAATAATATTGAGTTCTATGAAATTAATTACCAAACAAGTAAAAGCGATTTTTTACCTGAGCTGATTGTCAAATAATTATTATAAGATATGATATCTGCAAAAAAAAAAAAAAAAAAAAAAAGCTTACTAAAAACAAAGTTACAGTACCTAATTTAATGAGTTGTTTGCCAAAATCGACTAATTATTGTTTTTTTTTTTTAGTTAATCGTTTCATACTTTAATGATCACGTTGACACGGATTAATGTACTGCTTTAGTATTTGTTATATTTAGAATACGGTATTGATTTAAAAGAGTTTTAACTTTTCAGGCGGCCCTTTTTGAATATTTAGACACATTGTTAAAATATATGTAAAATGTAACAATTGTAGTCTAGGATAATTCAATGCAAAGAAATGTTGTGTTAACAGTTTTATAGCCTAGGTTTTTACATTTTTATCTAACATTTTTTTGATATTGAATAAACTAGTACTTGCTTTATATGTCACTTAGCTAAACGTAATCTAAGAGCTGAATATTTTATTATCTTTCAATGCTATTTGCCTAACATTATCTGTGGATTGTATGGCTATTGATTAAAAAGTATAAATTTCAAATAAAATTAATGTATAACTATTTGTTGGTGAGATTGAGTATTATTTATAAAGAATAAAAGCATTTTATTGTTGAGTTGGTAGTTAATGCTTTGGGGTGTTTCGTGTTTAAATGTCACGAAGATCAACAAATTGTCTCATACTTACACAAAACACTACATGATATCAAGTGGTTATGACACCCGCTATGATTCCTCTTTTGTTCATTGCATTTAATTGCACTTGCTGTTCCGGGGTTTTTCCCATATGCCTTTCTTCAATCAATGCCTTTATCTCATTCAAGATCCAGCAAGTTGAAAATAATGCACAGAAGAGTTCGTACGACAGTATATCAAAGTCGTGATGTAACTTGCTTTCTAAGGGTTATCTTCATGTCTGAGCTACCCAATAAACCGGTAACAGCTACTCTCATCTGTCAAAAACAGAGGCTGTATGGACCAGTACTCCGGGGTAACCCTACTCGTCTCGAAATATGGACTGGCCAAATTGTGCGCCCACGATTTACGAGAAGATTTGTTCCACCACAAGAACCATTCCCTTGGAATCAGCGCTAATATTATGGATGTAGGTTGCGGCGCCCTGCCTTAACCTCTCGCCCATCCAACTTGCGATTAATTAATAGATAAATTGATTATTGATTGATGGATATATTCATTGATATATAGATAGATACCTTGGTTGACTGATTAATCTATTTCATTCCTTTATTGTTTGATCTAATTTCTATTATGGCGTTATGTATTTTTGCTTCAGAACATTGGATTTGAACCTGACTAGGCTGGCGAAAGGGTCGTCGACAGTGAATTACCTATTTTCAAAAAGTGCAGCCATTTTATGCATAAAATTAGATAATTTGGACCCATTTTTAAAAATGTGGACCCATTCTTTGTGGTCCCATTAAAAAAATGTGTGGAACTGTCCCAACTGCCCCAATAGCTGACTACAGCATTGGTGCCCACCACACATGGAGCATAGGGGATAGCATTGGTGCCCACCCCACATGGAGCATACAGGGGATTTTGAATAAAATTTATTAGAATACCGTTTTAGAATACGAACAGATTCCTTGGAGCTTCATGCTCTGACGTTTCTCCTTCCTTGTTTGAGACTTCAGTGTTCAAAGGCAATTGCCGCATATTATTTTTATTTATTAATACAACTCCACACAGGCAGACAAACCTAACAATAACATTTAAAAAAAAAATCAAGTCCCGATGACCGGAGAAAACCGGAGAGAAACCAATAGGTGCAAATTTGGGCACCTGTGATACAGTGGCGGCTCTAGGATATAATTTATAGGGGCTAAAATGTCCGACTGGGGGGGGGGCTAATTATTTATGAGTGTAATTATAGTGCGCAGCGTTATCTGAGGGCCGAAGGCCCGAACCGGAAGTGGGTATGGGACTAGATGCTCGAAAAGTGAAATCTCAGGCCAGTTGTCCCTGGCTTAGAAATAATTACGATTTTTCTCAGACAGATTTTACCATGACGGGACAGATAACGGGACAGATGTCTCCATCCAAAGGCTGGGTCCAGAACCAGTTATAGTATTATTGACCCTATATATTTCAAATCATGTTAATCTTAATTTTAGTGCAAACTAAAACGTTTTCAAAGGAAAATTATGGCAAATACAAGATATTTCCTTATACCAATTATTGCTGTTTCATCCCATTTTAGTGATTTCCAAATAGTCTTATGTTATGAAAAATGATATGAAACTACTTTCAAAACCATGCAATCTATCTTCTTTTGGTGGCCATATTTTTTTCGTTTTTAAAAAAAAATCGGAGCTAATCTTGACGTTCACATGGTAAGCGGGTGAAGCAAGGTACCGTCAGTGGTCATAAAAAGGTAACATTTACACTGAAAATGCATAAAATACATTACATTAAGGTCAGAACAGTATAATAGTACAAATAGACAATATAAACCATAAAAGAGATCAAAACCAACAGATAAAAAAGGTGTTGGTCTGATACTGGCCTTGATAGCAAGAAGTTGCATCATTCGAATCCCCGCCTGAGATATTTTTTTTATATATATATGAGGCATGTTGTGGCAAAATGGATAAGTTGTAGCAAAAATTGAAATTCAAGTTATTGGTATTTTCAGATACCTGAGTATGTGGTCTTTAAAAATATGAGGGGTCATTCATTCAAATTGGACATTTCAAGCCTAAGTTATTGGAAAGTGAAAGTACAGTACTCTTAGAGTCAAGATAAACAGGATTTTGAGTAGTTACCTTTCAAAGTTATTTGTGCATGCATTGTTTAATAGAACGAACTATGAAAAATAACGTTAAATAAACAATTTGTTAACCGCATCCAGAACTAACTTTGGGATATGATTATTGAGACATTGAACTGTTGATCTAAAGTGAAACACAAATTTGGGTGTTTTAGCAATTTTTTGACCATATTGTATAGCTCATTTACTCAGTAATGGACTGTGCGAAAACTTAACCATTTTGCCACAACATGCCTCATGTAACTGAAAAACCCCCTCTTTTGCTGAAGGCCCGGGTTATGCTTCATGCGATTATAACATCTTGTTCCTTTTAGTGGCGTAACGCCCCAGCTCAAAGGGGGCCCCGGAGGATCCCCGGGATTCTCTTACTATACTACTACCTGTACTTTACTACCAAGCCTTTAAGCCCCAGGGGCGGATCCAGGATGGATCTGCCGGGGTGGCACAAAGCACACCTACGAGGACCTTGGGTCAGAGCGAGGAGAGTTTGGGAGGGGTGTTCCCCCCATTGGCTGAGGTCGCCAAGGGCCCCCTGGAAGCTTTGAATTTACCACTTATCAAAACGATTTTAGATGGTTTAATAAAAGAAGCAATACATTTTGTATTGTAAGCGTTTCCCTATACAGTGTTTGTATTTACTTGCATAAACTTGCATAAAACACAGTTACAGATGCACTGGGCAACGAACAATACAATGGTAGGCCTATTTTTCGAGTATCTACATACCGTAAACAAATAAAACATAAAATCTGGTTATAAGCATCTGTCTGTCTTATATAATAATAAACTAAATAAAAGATACCTTTTTTAAGTGCTTGATCACTAGAATAAAAAAAAAATAAAAAAAAAACAAAAAAAACAAAAAAAAAAAAAAAAAAAAAAAAAAAAACTTTACTATCAATATAAACAATAGGCCTACACGATACAATGTATGATATTTGGCATGTAGGTATTCGATCTACTGATTGAAAAACGTTTTAACTCAAAGACAAATCGGCGTCGGGGATAACAACGTAATTGTGTTCATGTAAATTGAGCAGAAAAGCGAATACTTCCTGTCGGTGTTTCTCTTGTACCATTCAAAGATTTAATTATCAATGTTATTTAGTTTTAATTATTATTATTATTATTATTATTATTATTATTATTATTATTATTATTATTATTATTATTCCCCCACCCGTCACTGTCGGGGGCAGGGGCGAACGTCCACTTATTCTCCCCCTGCTGGATCCATCACTGCGCCGTAACGCCTGTGTTTTTCTTGGGGCTATTTTACGACTTGAGAATACGTATACGTTTTCAATGATTTTCAAAAAAAATAGAGAGGCACGGGCCCCTCCTACTACAATCCAGCAATTCACAGCTTTGACATGTTATGTAACGCTTGTGTGCTTTCTGGAGTCAACGCCTAGTTCCAAGTCCAAAATGAGCCCTGGAGAGGTCACTGTGGTCCCTCTTATCACTACTTAGCAATCTAATGCGGCACTTTTGACAATACGGTACATTTTCTTTCAATTTCCAAGAAAAATGTATGGGGCCCAGGCCGGCCGGCCACCCCACAAACCCTAGAATCCACCTCCACCCTAAAACATCAATAAAGAATTAAATACATGAATACCCACCATAGTATTGTACTCTCGCGAATAAGCGCCCAGTTTGAATAAGTGCCCTATCGAATAAGCGCCCCTCATAACGAGAAAATTTCCTTAAGCACCCCGTTTGAATAAGCGCCCCTTCTAATTTGAATAAACGCCCCTTCTAATTTGAATAAACGCCCCCTCAATGACCCAATCAATCCTGGGACTGTGGATGTTGGCATGATTTATGGTGTGGAGTGGAATCACATTCTCCTTTAGTCAATATCAAAGTGAGGATATTTATCTTTGACAGAATGATGAGAGCTCCCTGGACAGACAGTATATTTCAAACTTTCATCTTCTTAGAATTTCATTTGTCTATAGCCTAGTCCTACTACTCCTTTTCCGACAATTGCACCTCTAACACATTCTCATCTAAGTTTTCAAGAAAACCTGCAATGATCATGCCGTCCTGCTATTCTCAATCGACCGATGGCGAACAAGCTAACCACCACCACTAATTTCATCTGCTATTCTGCT